GATGAAAGTTGGAAAGAAACTTCCGTTGTTGGCTACGAAGAGAACGTCCTGGATCAGAGTGATTCTGGGAGCTTTCCTGTTAACGGAGTTGATTTCTATGCGCAAAGTGCATGACGGAACTTCATTAAATTGAATAAAAAATTATATATATCGCGTAGAATTAGCTCAGTGACTTTTATAAAGCTCTGTTTGTATTATACCGAGCTGTGAACAATATAGTGACATTGTCAAACATTATATCGCGCAGCTCCGACTGCTGTAACCGTCATGGCTGATGGTCATCTCGTACCTCGTCTGTAATCGCGTTAGCGCTACGACGCGGTTACAGCCGCGCATTAATTAAGACTAATTAGTTCAGAAATTAAATACATATGTATGTCACTCGACAATTGATATCAAAATAAAAGAGAGAGAGAGAGAGAGAGAGAGGGAATAAATGAAAATTCTAAATGCGCTTTGAATCGCGGACTACTTTTCCACCGATCCATTCGATGCGTCACGATTTCGAAGAAAACTACCATGTAGTTGTACCGTCGAAAGCACAGTCGATCTCTTGGCGGTACTTGGACCGCGTGCTTTCTCACGCGCGGATCATTCTGAAGAAAGTTACGCCGCGCGCCGACGGGAAAAGAAGCAGGCTACCGTATATCCGCGGTATGCACCTATACCCCGACCGAAGGTCCGGGGCAGAGGGCCGAAGATATATCACGTTGTCGGCCGACATACCATTCTTTTGCGGCGTGGCGCGCGGCCGACACCGCGCGGCAGCAGCATTCACAAATTAAGGAGCGCCAAAGTCCACGGCGGCGCGGCGTAGGTATGGCGCTATCGCGCTTCATAAAACTTCGTTAGCACGAAGCCGGGGGAAGTAGACGTCCGAGCCCGGCCACGGGTATATACTCACATAAGCGCTGATGGTCCCGCGAGACCACCGTAAAAATTCATTTTGCACCTCGGCCGTGTAATTCAGCCGGATTCTTGCATCTTCACCAGCCGGACCAGTGGAGCGTATTAGATGGGCCATGTCCGCGCACTTCGCAGTTAATGACTTCGCTCGGCCTGCCGTCGCGCTATGCGCGGTACGTTTAATAATTGTACAGCAACAGAGCGCGCCCTCAATTATTCGTATTATCCGTATTATACGTATGCGTAAATTCCGTCCTCTTTCCCGCGCGCTCTGCTCTTCGAGCATATAAAAAGCATTACTTATGGTGAAAATTAACTGATGGAGAATTGTACGAAAAAAATTTTCATTTTTATCGAAAATCTAAGCTTAATACCTTTTATTTTCATTAGAAGCCAATTGTTTCAACATACGCATAGACACAATTGTTCATTCGATTGATCAGTACTTGTACTGTAAAGTTCCTTACGTCGTTACTCGCGGCACATGGCGATGCCTAATGTCATTACATTTCGATACGTTCGTCGTGTGTTCGTTAATTTTTGTCGCGCAGACTGCGCATATAAAATGAAAGTCGTACACAAGGTGTACGACTACGTCCTCGTATAGAGACCCGCCACGTGTATCGTCTCTATACATATATAGCGGCCGGGTTCCCGTCATTAGGTACGTAGTCTCGTTAGAATGAACTTTTTTTTTCGTCGTCCGCTAATGAGGTGGTCCGCGACTTGCAGTCCGTGTGGAGGGTAGCCCCAGCATACGTTGGCAGCCAGCTTCAGGTCTGAGGGCAGCTTCTATGACACCCCTACGCGAATCCGGGGAGACGGAGACACTATTTTTAATCTACCCGCGGGACGCCGGCTCGATGGAATTAAAACGCATGTCTCGCTACGAAAGCTTGTTGTCCTGCGCGAAAAACGTGTATCCCTTTTAGAGCACATCTCCTCGGATCGGGGCTCGCTAGAATGTCACATTAATAGTTGTCATCGAGCGGCGGTCCGGTGATTAATTTTGGACGTTAATTTTAGCAGGCAAACTAGAGTTCATACGGTCACGCTCGGGTATACATTCGACGACGATCCAAAGTATGATGTGAATAATAGAACATCGCTGAAATAATTGATGCGAGACTCTGTTGCGAAATTCTTGGCTGCATTATTAACCCTCCGTCACAATGTGAAATTTTCACTCTTTGTTTGCAATACATAGTTGAACTTCAGTGCAAATTTTCATATTATTCTTGACTGTATGAAAGTGTAAAAAAATTCTTCCATATTTGTGAAAGCTTTAACAATGAATATTAATATAGAAGTTGGATTGTACATATTTTACTTATTTTTACTAATTTAAATTTATCTACCAGAATATATATCTCCGATCTTGTTTACACATTTACGATGTAATACGTTCCAAATTTTCTGCATGTTGATTGTTCTTATTCTGAATCTCAGCGATATATTTTGATATGTACCAGAGTATTAAAAAAGACACTTTATAATGTGTTAGTTGGTAGTCAATGGGTGAGGTCGCGCCTAGGAAAGAAATTACACTGCGAAGTAAGTGGCGAGGTAAGCAATGGTTTTCCGAGATGATCAAATCCGTCAAATGGTAAATTTAAGAAATGAAACCTATAAACTAGCTCGAATAAGCAAAAGTAATGATGATTGACAAACTGCTTTGACAATTGAGAAACAAAATGGTTGATGAACGTAGAAAGGCCAAGAGGAATTATTTAGAATCTAGATTAGATAAAAATTTAAAAAAATCCTAGACAAATGTAAAGGTTGTCTCGGGAGCTGCTAAAAGATAATACGAATAGAGATAATACATACAGGGAGATTCAGTGTGGAGACACTTTGTATAGTAATATATATGAGATGGCAAATATTTTTAATAGATAGCATATCAGGGATTTTAGAAAGTTATGATACAATGGAATTAATAATAGCTAAATATACTGAAAATAAATTGCAAGTTTTTAGTACAATTAATGTAGGCGAATCAAATCGAATAGTTTATAGATTAGGAAACAAAAGTAGTACAGAGGAAGGAATAACTTGAAATAATGAAAAGGGTGGTAACAGTAGCAGGTATAAATTTATGCGAAGTACTGAATAGATCCTTAGAGAAGGGAATATTCCCAAATGAGTGGAAAGAAGCTATTGTAATTTCTATATCAAAAATACAAAGAACAAAAAAAAAATAGAAGCATTCGACCTATAAATAAGTTACCGATTTAGAAGGTATTAGAAATAACAATTCACAGTCAATTAATTAACTATTTGGAGGATAATAAATTATTAGAAGAGTGTCAATCAGGGTTTAGAGCGAGATATTCCATGCGAGACTGCCCTTCAATGGATTATATCGAGTTGGAAAAAAAGTATATAGTATATATAGAAGTTAATAAAGATCAATCAATCAATCAATCTTTCTTTTCCTCATTCTCCGATTCACCGAAGCGTCTAAGTGGAAGTAACTCAAGCTCGATCTATTTGCTCTTTCCGGGCTTCCTCGAGCCGCACTAACTCCTCTGCACTCCGGCTGTAATCGACTGCCAGTCGAGATCTTCCTCTCTCGAATGGCGCGGGCGAAGGTTCCCATTCATCCAGCTCGTCCCGGTTGACACCCGGCCGTTGCCGTCGCTTAATTCGCGAATATTTCACCGGCGCGTCACCCCGAAAATACGCTACAGCTGCTCGCGTCGTGTCTACAATCGGGGCCACCTTCGGCATACGCCCCACCGAAGAGTCCGCATTCGTGCCATAAATCTCAGCGCTGATACATTTTTACTTATCACGTTCCCATCGCGCGGTTTTCTCGCGCGCGGTAATCTCGCCGTGCGATTTAAACGACTGATGAACGAATTGTCATCCCACCCTTTTTCCATATGTGTTGCAGACGGCTTTACATTGGGGAGCTAAACATGGTAACGAGAACATCGTTAAATTAATAGCGGGTACCTACAAAGACTACATCAAGAGTGTCAATGAAACTACGGTGAGTATCGTTTCTCTGGATTGATGGAGAAAATATTTGTTCGTAAAATTAACGTGTGGATATTATAAAATGTAAGAACGATGGTTTAATGTACATATGGAATATTGAAGCGATTATTCGATCTTATAATATTTCGAACGATAATGTAAATTCGTATTTTTTTTTTTTTTTTTTATATTTCCGATGTCCGACCATTGGATGCTTCCATCGGATGATGCAGAACGGGGTAAGTGTGTCTTATTTTTTAACTATAGCTTAATATGTTTTAAGTGACACGCAATAAGTAGATTAGCAATTCATAATTGATATATTAAAAAATAACGTCTTTGAATGAATTCTGTTTCTTACGTCGATGATTTTTACATCGAGATTAAGAGAAAATGTATCCCAGGTACATTTGGATAACATCGAGAAAGAGCGAGTATCTGCGGCGGTCCTTGTCACGATCGCGTATAATTTGCCAGACGTACGGAGAGCGGGATCGGTTTAGGGGGCGAAGTCGTGTTGTAAGAGGTAGAACAAACGGAGAGTCAGTCCCGCGTAGCAGAAAGGAAGGAAGGAAGGCAGGAAGGAAAAGGAAAGGAGAGAGACGGTCGAAGCGCACAGAAAAGCCCGCAGATAGGATCGGATGTGTGTGGTCCCGCCGCTCTTTGCTCTTTATAAGACTTATATAAGCCGGGAGTGCTTCACGACAAGAGACGGCGTGCGACGAGGGAGACAAGTACTTAGAGGAGGAACGAGGGAAAACGGGGGGGTCCTTGCTCGTTAGTGGTTCGCGACAAACTCCATCTCGGGCTCCTGTCCTCGCGTTATACTGGACAACAAAGTTATTTCAATTTTTTGCCACGGACATTGCATTGGGCTGTGATTGCCAGTATTTGTTACGCTAAAGCCAATTAGGTTTATAATCTTTACAGGACGGGAAGCCGCTATAGGGCCTGTCATATTTTGTGGCGAGAGAAATACAATAAATTATATTATATTATAATAAATCTTAGGCTCTGCACATAATGGAAGAAATATTAAAAAGAGGAATAAATATTAAATATTAGAGAAATAAAAAAGTAGGAATAGAGATTAAACGTAACGCACAATGAATAGAAACACAAATAAATTATAACACATATATAATGGGTTTTATTTGTATCCATTATGCATTATGTTTAATCTATTTCTAATTTTTCATTTCTTTAATGTTTTATATTTATTCCTGTTCCTAATGTTTTCATTGTCCGCAAAGTTTTACTCGAGAAAATGCTCTGTAAGATTTAAAAAGATAGACCTCCCGCCCTCTAAATGTTAATCTTTCTTCTTTCACATGAGACTTCTGAGCAATACGACATTACAATTTTATAAAAATCTAATCTTTTATATTACACTTACAATTAGTGAGAATATAACGATTTGACGATAAATTAAAATATTTGGTATTTTTGAATTGTCGTTTCGAGCAGTTGGAAGGGGAGCTTACTTAACTCGTTTAATTTTTTCCTCTGTCGTTCCGTCATTAGATGGAAATTGAATTCGAAGCGCGTGTATTCCGAAAGCCGGTTCATTTATCTTCTTGTAAGGTCTTCACCATAGCTTCTTCGCGCACGGTAGACTCATTTGTTTCCGCCGGTGTAATCCGAACTGACCTGTCGACACCGCAGCACACCTTTTCTTCCTTGCCTCTAAATCCACGTTCTTCTACAATTCGTTGTCATCCGTTGAGCGTTCTCTCAACTGCAGAAATCTTATCGAAAAAAAAAAAACGACAATTTTCTTTATACCATCGCTTCGATAATTTCCAAGCCGTACAAAAAAAATTGGGAAATAGTTTCTTTAAATAATTTCATATAAAACAGAGAAATTAAAATATACGAAAATATTAAAATACATTATAGATTTCCCTGGTATTTTTGTACATGATATGATTTTTCAAGAGTAAGGCCCAGAAGTCAAAGAGTACACGAGAGTATAGCAGAAGAGAATCAAGAGTACACGCATAAGAGTTGTATGAGAGATTTCCTTAATACAGAAACATTATGCGCGCAGACGTCGCTATTTTCGTACCTTCCCAATGACAATCCCGGCTGACTCGATGTTGCTGGGGATTAGCGCCGGATATAATGAATACGGTCGCGCTCGTGTACGTACCGATGTAGAGTAGGTAATCCACACCCGGACCGGGGGAGATCTGTCCTCGGCGAATCCTCGCTCTGCTTTTTTCCACGGCGCGGCTTTAGGACCAGACTGCGGATCGCGCGGCGCGGCGTAATCTGTCACCGGCATCGCTCCCGCGTCGCGCTTTCCTACGGCTTATCCCGGGCACTGGCTTTCCCCCAATCCCGCGGCAAATGAAAGGACGGTGGGAAAAGAATAAAAAGAAAGGGGGAAAAAAAAAGAAGAAAAAAAAAAAAGAACTCCGCGATTACCCGATAGCTTCGTAATGCACGCGGAATCGCCCGTGGCACAGCGTCGATCTCATCCTCGACTAATATCCGCCACTCGAGGGCATCGATACCGGTTCGCTTGACACGGCCGCCGGAAACTTGGAAAAAAAATCAGTAAATTGCAAAAAGCACGATAATGGGAAATAAAAAAAAAATTATTCTCTTCCTCGTGCGTGCTTCGATTCGCGTGTTACTCGATATTCATCAGTTTTCCCTTGAATTCTTGCATTATTTAAAATGTCACTGACTCGAGCAAGTTATTTTACCCAGGATGTTAACATCAAGCCGCGCAGCTTCATCTCATCACGCGAGCTTTGGAATTCTCGATGCAGCGGAATGTTTTTTCGGTGCAACAAACAACCGAACGGATCTGACTGATGGTGCTTTTAGCGTGAAAAATCATAGCGCGAGCGGTCCGTTTTTTTCGAACGTTTGATTTCGTCGGTGGAGAAACTCCGGCCTGCTTATCGTAAGAATTTACCGCGGTTTCGCCGTCACTTACCAATTCTTTTTTTTTTTTAAAGAATCCCCGGTCGGTGTTAAATAAAACGGGTGCGCCGCAGCATCGACGACGAAGCGGATCGCAGTCACTGGCATAATCTGTCACCGCTTCTACCGTGCTTTTCTACGGCTTATCGCGGCATCGGCTCGCATTTAATCCCCGCAAAAAACGGTGGCCACGTATCCCCCGTATCCACAGGAGGCTCTCGTAAGCCGACCGTCTGCATCGCAGCCTGGCGCCTGCATCCTTGCCGGACGTAACGACAATGGTCATTCTATCCTTGGTTAGAGTTTTGTAGATGCGACTAGAATGTACCTCATGAGTAATAACAATTCCTTATTAGAAGTCATCGAATGGATAATATGGAAAATTGTTAACAATAAGAGAAATTATCTGTCGCGCGTTATAACATTTTTAACAACGTTGGGAAATAACTAGTTACTTGTAACAGTTACAGTTACTTTTTTCCATCTGTAATTGTGTAATTTAACTTAATTACATTTCTTCCAATAATTAATTTAACAGTTACTTTTGCAGTTACTTTATATTTTAAACTTATTTGTTAATTTAATATAATTAGTTAAAATCTGAATATTGATTAAAGCTACAGTTCACTTGACACTACAGATGCTTTGAAGTATTTTTTGATCCGGTGAGTTTGTGAACGTAAATTATTTTTTTCTTTGATAGCCCTAATGATATTGATGTGTCACTCATATTGTTCTGTTATTATAACAGAAAAGTAACTAAAAGGTTACTTTTTTAGTAACTGTAATTGTAATGAGTTAATTTTTGGTCTAACTTGGAATTGTAACTAGTTATTTTTACAAAGTAACTTTCCCAACTCTGAATTTTTTAGTTTTTACGAACTACTGCGGCTTGGACCATTAAAGATTGGGAAAGAAAAAATATGAAATAGGTACTTAAGCAAACTAACAAGAAGTCCAATCTTTAGAAATCAAGTTTTAGTTAGGTATTATCCGATTAGTTCATGTTTCAGTTTTGTATCTTCATCGCAATTAGGATTGCCATCCCCCCCTCCCTCGTTCTCTTCTTTTAACACGGGAATGTTCAGAGGGATTTCTCGAAGCCATCCAAGGTTTTAAGGTGCCTTTTAAGTATTTTGCTTCGACTCTCGCATTACCCTGTATTAGTCCCGATCTACAATATATAGACGTAAGTAGTAACTTTTAAGCCGATCAGTCAAATGTGAAAAGAATAAGCGATCAATCAATTTTTCATGATTTGTGGCTTACGATAAGCCATAATTCTTTCTGACATATTTTACTAACTTACACGCATTTTTGCGTGCGTTCAGGGTTGCAAACGAAATGTCATCTTTTACCTGTTCTAGTTTTAAAAATTTTGATGTAATTCTAATATCACTGCAGTGACTGTACACAGTAAAAAAAAACCTATTTGATTGGATCAACTAATTTTTTGCTTGGATATGGGCAAACAAATCCTTTAAAAATAATTTAGTTGAAGCGAAAAATTTGATCATTGTAACATTTTACTTATATTATCAGAAATCAGTAGAACGTACAAGTAGAATGGAGTACAATAATCGAACTTTTTGGAGTTGAATTTGGATCATGCGAGAATATACGAGACATGTAGCAAAGTGTCTGCACAATAGATCGCAGAAAATGATATTGCCTTCCAGCCGATTTTCGAGAGCAGGCCCATGTCGAAGAACGAGATATTCTCGGAACGTGCGAGCTTCCTCCCCCGATTTCTTCACACTTCTAGAATAGGCGGGGGAATGGAGAAGTGCCGTTATGATATAGCGGCTCGTAAAGGCGGGCCGATGTAGGAAAGTATTAAAATTGAAAATCTTCAACGGTGATATACGCGTGCGTGATATTGGTGGCCGGCAGCTGTCCTGTTTCTGAAGGCTGCTGCAAGGATGAAAGAGAGAAAAAAAACGAAAAAGCTGCGAGGCAGAAAAAAAGGACATGTTACGCGCGAGTGAGCGCATTCGAGAGAAAAAAAAACGAACAGAGACGAGAAAGACGGAGACGAAGTGGCGGTAGGGGGACGCGATATTGTCTCGAGACTCCGCGTGTGCCAGGACATTGCTACTTTAAAATATCATCGTGAGCATAAAAAGAGGGGTTCCTCCGCGTGCACGTATCCACCTACATACAGAGTGTTTCAAAAGTCACTCGCTTTCTAATAACGCGAACCTAGGATCCAATATGCCTATTTGATCCTAATTAAAATTCAAGCTTTATAATCATCGAGATGTTCTATTTTTTTTTTTTTTTAATATCCTGGTCCAAATTATAATCTCATTAAAATCCACTTAAATGCTTTGAGGATATAAAGTTACCTGTTCGTGATGCAAAATAAAAAATTCTATAAAGCCTCTGCCGCCTGTTTCTAGTTCGAAAACTGTCGATCTGAACGTTTAAGCAATAAGCCGTTCTTAATTAGATTCCCAAAATATCTACGAATCGTAAGAAGCCGTTGCTTTTGCGACACCTCGTAAGTGCACATCCACATCACTCACGAAGGGATGAGCAAGGGTGCGTGCGTGAGCTCGGCAAAGGGTGTGTCGTGCCACTTGTCGCGAGGACACACGTGTCGCATGCTATTGGAGTTGGCAAAAGGGTGACGCGCAAAGTCCACCCCATATACGTACCGTTTTTTCGTTCTATATGCGACCGTGTGTTTATATGTCGTGACTTTTGGGCGCGTACCTATAGGCGCGGGGAGCCTTTAAAGTGAAATAAATTAGAAATTTTAAGGGGGTGAGCACACCACACGCTCTTTCCACGCGCGAATCCAGCCAACCCCTTCTCTCCCTCAGCGCAGTATTATCGAGGGGGTGCCTGAACGCGGAGGGTGCGTCCCGTTTCGATAACTACGATCGCGGTTTTGACACATTTGTCACTATCGTTTATTGCACAGTTCGATATTAAACGCCACGATATACAGTCGAGCGTCGTTCATGAACTCAGTCACGGGGACGATTTTTTAATCGCACTTCCGTAACGCGGCCAAATGTCGCGCTCGGCCGCGTATCTCGAGGGTGATTTTAATTGAGGGTAAAAACATTATACAGATTCAAATCGGCTCTTTCGTTACGCATTTTTCCACCACGGGCTTTACAGCCGGCGACACATATAGCTGTAATGTATTACGATGCATGCCGCAAGTATAATTGAAATGAAACATATTGCATCTGCAAATTTAATTTACGAAAATCTTTTTCTGTCTTCATCTATTCTTTTCTCTTACCATTTAATCGAGGGACACTTAAAGTGATACTTTTGTAAAATTTCTCAATGTAGAAATATACTGAAAGAAAAAATGTTATCAATAAGAAGTATAATAAAATAAAATAATTCTGATTGTGTATGAATCAGAAGTTCAATTATGATAATCAGAATTCTATTTATTGTAATTGAATTTACGTTCATACAGTATAGAAGTTTGCAGCAACATTATTGCAATGTTACTATTGCTGGAAATATTGCTGGAATGAAAATAATCTGTGCTGTATGAACATTATCTTCATTAAAATGTTTAATAGATTTAACTATAATATATCCGATTTGTACTTTTCTACTTAAATCTACCAAAACTCTAATTAATGCAACAAGACTTTTCTAGATTAAGATCAATAAATAGAAGCTTATTTTAAAAGCCCCGTTTTACATTCATGTCATATGGTGGTGAATAGGGAAAATACATAGGGTACAACAGTATTTTGATACGTTTCAGACGCACCTGGTTTTTTTTTTTCCCCCTCCTTCGCGCGTTTCCTCCCTTCAAACGTTTCGTATATTTTACACGTATAAAAATGCACTTTTGAGACAGCGTCTCGTCTGCGTTTTCGTCTCCGCCGGATAATGACTCGCACACGCACACAATTACGTGCAATTTGTCGTACTTATCGACGCGAAGCATCGTGACCGCGGCGTGTACGTGATACAACGTGCTCTTTCATGAATGCTAGCCCACGGCAGGAATACACGATGTCCCTGACCGATTGCGGTTACTTTTCACCGTAGATACCGTCTGCGAATTATGCCGAAGCATGTTGAGGCGAAGCATGTTCGCGAAACCGTCGGGCGATGAATAGCCTTTCGATGGAAAACAATTGATGACGCATCATTTGAGTGTTACCCTGAAGAGTGTCGAAACCTACGAGTTTGCAGCCTGTCGAGTTTTAATTTGACTCCTTTTGTTATTCGTAGGACTACCGCGCCGCTCGTGTTCGTTCCACGATCGATTCTTCATGAATTTCGATTTGTCAATTGAAAGGGACAAAGCTGTTCATAGAGACTTCATATATCGGTGACTTCGCGTTTTGCATACCTTAATTCAAGGCCGCACTACGTAATCGGCTCTTCTCGGCTGATCGGCTTTCAATGACTTTTATATATAAATTAAACCAGTTTTCCTTCAGCAAAAGAGGTATGTTACAGCTACGATGCGAGCATTAGCTCATATTCTATCACATATCACGAGATTTAATTTGGACTTACGATAGAGACGCTTTATTTAATTATAAGTATATAGATACTGCAAAATAGTAATTTTGGCCCTGGATTCATAAGTCGAAGTTGATTTGATATTTACTAGATTTTCTATTGATCTTCGAAAGAAGATCCACATTTTATCGGATGCATGTTGATAAAATATCGATCTTCTTCGAAAAATCAATCGATATCGATTTGATTTCGATCATGAACCAGGGCAGTTTTGAAAATGCTTAAACAGCATATCAAAATGTCTTATTAAAATGCCTTACGTCCTGATATTGAACATATCGTCTACTTTCTAAAATCTTTGGAGTGGAATTTAAGTTTAAAGAATGACAATTGAGCCATCGCGTTGAAAAAAGGTGGCTCAATTATCAATTTTTAAGAGTGAGGTTTCTTTTAGAATTAGATTCCATTCCAAAGATTTGAGAAAGTAGATACTTTTTTAGTTTAGGTAAAAGTTATATAAATAAATTTATTTTTTAATTTTATAAATTGATAAATTTGACTCGAGTTACCCATTTTACGATATAAAATACAGAAGAAAACGATTATCTCATACTGTGATACCTGCAGCATAATTTTTCGTCCGATATCCAACACACGATTATTTCGACGATCAAAATCATCCGTGCGGCGATAAATTCATAGACCTTATCGGATTCACTTGTAGCTATCATAATGCTACTACGCATTAAAGTGGATCGTCGGTCGCGATCAAATGCACGTATTGTATTACCTTTATAAAAGCGAAAGAGAGCCATCGGGACCGGCAGCTGTTGCCTGACACGCGAGCTGGAAAAGCAGCTCTTTTCACCTGCCTGCCCGAGTCGAACGAGACTAATTGTGAGATAACGCCTTCTTAATATTTCTGCCCTCGCAATAAATGGTTCGTACAGCGCGATATCCCGAAGACCTTGACGTGTCGTTTGCAACGATGAAAATGTAAGAGCTCCACTTAACATTTTACGTTTGTAGATTAGTACGATATTATCTCTTAATGAAATGGTGTCGCTTAATAAAAATACCTCGTATGAAAAATAGCATCGCGTGAAGGGATGTGTGAAGAAACGTGTCCACGGATTGATATTTGTCCATTCCGTTATTTTCTCTAACACGTTATATATCGAAGGTCTCATATCGTTTAATGGCCTGACTTATTTAAATTCACGTTAAGGTCCACCGTCTGCTCACGTTACGTGCACAATCGATTTATATGTACATAATATATCCGAATGTTTAACTTTCTGTGCTACTCGCAGATCGATCAAAAAACTGTCAAGAAATAATTTCGATTTTAGGTTCAGATTAGCAGCCTTGCTTTATAACGTTAAATATTGGCGCTAATTACGACTCTAATTAAAATGTGTCTTGAAGTCAAGATTAATCAGTGGACAATCTATATTATCTCAATTTGCTTGCGGCATTTAGAAGAGGCATTGTACTCGGATAGGAATATGAAGATTCGCATAAGAGCCGAATAAAAATGCGTGCGTGCAAACGATAGGAGGCGATGCACGCGAGGCTAGTTTTTCGCCTCGCCGTTTCCCTTACACACGCACGCACGCACGCACATATGTGATTGTTTCGGATCGCGCCGTTGTCGCGGAAATGCGAATTCGCACGCTCGAAATGATATTCATAATACGATGCCATTAATTACTCATTGTCTCTGCGACGGCACCGCTACCATCCCCCTTTTCTTTCCGTGTGTCTCCTTCCTATCGTTACCGTCTTACTCGTAAATGCACGTCACGCATTCGAGCAAATCATAATAAGATATGCAACACGTCGGAACAGAAGGTGTGATACGGTCCCTCCCTGTTACTTTTCTTCTACCTTATTACGATTTCCTTCCATCGGGAGAAAGAGAGAGAGAGAGAGAGAGAGAGAGAAAGAGAGAGAGAGAGAGAGAAAGAATGAAGGAGATTGGCGTATCCTTTTCGTAAGACGGCGCCGGAAATGGCGGGCAACACGGAGGAATACACGTGTACAATTACAGATACATTATTCATTAAATTGTAGACCGAACGTGTTTATAAGTATATTAATAACGCGCGCGCACTTTGCGTCAACGTGAAAGCACATGATTTGTGAACATTGTGTTCGCGTGATATTTTACACGCTCGTCGAACGAGAATATTGTTCGTCTTTTAACTTGCCTAATTATTGATACGCTCTCCTTACTCGTGAACATAATTAATATCTATATAAGTGTATTTAAATGTCGCTACGGAAAGATCGGAGATACGTCCATTTATTCTTTAAATGATTGAAAACGTTATGCCTTGTTCTAAAATATATATATATCTCAAAGTAAAGATTCTCAAGTAAGATATTGGATATCTTTTAGACCCATTTCTATCAATGTAGATTAATTTTAATCTTCATTTGATTTACTCTTTATCTTTTTCTATTTCTTAAAACTAAAAAAAAAAATAGAAAGTCAGTTAAATCGAGATTAAAGTTAATTTACATTAGCAGAAATGGATATTGGGCAATTTTTCATTGCCCACTATATTTAAGACGTGCTTAAGATAAAATGAGAAAGATGCATAAGATAGAACGAGATGTATAAAAATAAAATGAGATGAATATCTCATTCTATTTTTAAGTGCTTAATCTACCTATATTTAGAATAGTATCTAATATTACTTGAAGATCTCTACGTTATAAATTATTGTCATTGCATTTTAGGGCTACACACCTTTGCATATCGCTATGCAATTCGGCCACGAGAATATATTCAATCTCTTAGTTCAAGTATACGGTGAGTACGCATTTTCTCTGTGAAATGGCAAAAACCCCGTAATGATCGCATTTAATGACGGATTTTGAAAATATATTTTCAGGCGCGAATCAGGACGTACGTGACTACAGCGGTAGGAAGGCCAGACAATATCTAGCCTCGCAAGAGGCGGCAGTCAGCCAGGACACGTTCCACAGTAAGTACATTCTCTTTATGAAGGAAGACGCCACTTAGGAAAACGAAACGCAACTTTTGTACATAATCTGCGAAGGGTTGCGTTTGCGTGGATATTCTGAGATATTCCTCATAATTAGCATTAGTTTCCTTCAACAGTATACGAAAAGAACAGTTTTACTGAAACACGTAAAAATGTAACTAGATATAGATTTGAAAATAACTTTGTTTGGCCGTCAAAATAATTATGTAGAACGTTCAAATTAATTTTCAGAATGTTAAAATTATTTACAGCGTTATCATCCTCGTGCTTAAAAATTTTACATAATTATTTTGTCGATCCAACGAAATTAATTTCAGATTTGTGTGTATCTAGTTAAATTTTTAAATACTTCAATAAAACTGTTCTTTTCGTGTATGACATCAACGTCTCTAATTCGTTATATTACGTTATATTACGAATTAAATTACGAATAAAATCTTTTATAAATACGACTTATGAGACTATTTTTGAGAACTTTAACTGT